CCCCCCCCCCCCCCCCCCCAACCAAACCCTCCTCACATTAACATAATACGAGTACCACGCCATCCTCATTTGTCACCACACAATCAGGTGAGTTACACCTCATAACTGTCATAAACATGACGCTCTCTCAGTGCATCATTTTAACCCAATGTGACAGATAAAATTTTACTAGTAATTTAAGGACTGTTTCTTCATAATAGGTGTATGTATATATGTAATTATGATATACATGTGTGCAGGTCATGTTTTCTTTTCAGTTGACAGTCACTGATAATCTAAGATAAATATCTTTCTCAGACAGCATCCATGAAAATACCCCCTTTCCATGAATTATAATAAAAATTATACCAGAGCTTTTATGTATTTTTTCATGATCAGGTTAAGGCATACGTACACTACAATGAAGAACGTAATTTTCTTTTCTTGATCTGAGAAAAAAATAGATTTAACATTAGATACTGTTTTGTTTGCAGAAACAATTCTATAAACTGATTCACATGATTGAAATAGTGTTTTGGTACCTGTGATCAAATTATACCTTTCAGCAGTTATAGCCAATATTGAAAGGTTCAAAAATTAAATGTCAACGTGTATTTGGTCATATAATATCTTCCATAGTATTGACAGTGACCATGAACATGCTGATTTCACTCAGATACACTGTGCATACATATTTAGGTCATAGTCCAGTTTGTTCACCCTGTATTCCAGAGATAATTAGAGTCTCATCCCTATTATCAGCATACCTTAACTTTGTTCTGTTAAATCTCTGATACACGGGGTGAGTTTGTTTAACAAGATATATATCCTGGGGTACCTGGATGACCAGGTGTACTGGGGATTGAGGATTGCATCATGGTGTTGGGTTGTGGTTGAAGATTGAGTTCATTTTGTTGTTCATCTCTGAATGTCACTATTGTTTGCAGGTTAGCATTGTTTTAGTTATGGTCATATACAGTAGGAGGTGAGTGGTTGTGGTCATTTGGGACTGGTGGGGCATTGGATACTACTTTAGATTAGGCTGTCACTTGGTCATGTAATAATGCCAATAGCTTTTCTGACTTTGAAAGAAAATTGGAGAAAATGACTAAAATGAAGAAACTATCTACAAAGAAAGTTACCTGAATATGGTTTATATATGACTTGGAAGGGAAAAAAAGGGGGCTCCTATTCTCTTTAAAATTCTGTGACTTATTCTTGATGATGGTATGTAGGTGTCCATGTTCCTCCCTACCCAGGTTCTTCTAATATTTTACTTGTCACTGATGCATGGGAGAGGGAATATAACAACAAACTCATATGCATTTAGTGGACCTTAACAGGTAGTATTTAGGATGTGTATCGGCGCATTCAGAACCAATGATCTGCAGATTAACTAGTCCACAGATCAAATATGGCGCAACCCACTTGAAAGCTTGCCGAGATTTAATTGCTCTGCCCCTGCTGGAAGGTGCGCCAGGGAGGCAGGAATCCATTTTCGAGTGCATGTCATATTTGATTTTTGGACCAGTTTGTCCTTGGATCAGCTTGGTTTTAAATGCGACCTGTGTGTGTTTTGATGATCTCTGCAGATAGGGAAGGGAGTGCAGCATTTTGTTCAGCAAGATCTGTGGTTTTGGGCATGACACGTTTTTACTTATTTTTTCAGCTAAAAGTAGATTCTCATATATAAGATGAAAACATACAGTTAGTAATAAGAGAAAGACAAGATACCAGCAGCATGAGTTCTAAGAAGAAAGAAGACAAGAACCCAAAGGGTGTGATTGCAGAAGAGCCGGAGCATGAGCGACCCAAGGGAGTGCAGTTCAGTATCTCTGTTGATGAAGGAGATAGTCAGGATTCTGAGTTGGGCAAACTGAAAGGGAATACTTCATCTTCATCGCTAGCTTCAACTACTTCAAGCTCAAGTGGCGACGGTGATATTCAGCTGAGACAAAATAACACCATACCATTGAGGTGAGTACATAGAATGATATTAATTATATAATATAATGTATGTGATTTTACTATCAGAATTTTGTGTGCGATTTTATGTATGTATTCTTTTATGTTTTTCACCTCTGAGGTGGGAATAAATAAATAATATAACTGTTACAATGATTGTGTGGTCACACCCTGAGTTTCCACTGGAAACTAGTGGGAAGATAGCATGTGAAATTCTGGACTGGGTGGCAGGAACTAGGTTTATGTTGGAATTTGAAATTTGATAAAAAAAATAACATGGAAATCATCTGAGAAGCCTAAAATGAGGCTGTCTCATTGTGTGACACATAATATGAGACTAGGAAATGTGTGAGAATCCACCTGAGGTTGGGTTAACATTTCAGTGATTAGAGTAAAAACTATATGTGCCAGGAATGTCATCTTTGAGAGCAGTACAAAAATGACATGCAAAACGTGGATATTTTACTGTTGTGCAATAGATTGTAATTCTACGGAAAATGAAAATGATCAGAAAAATATCCATGATCAAATTCTGATAACTTTGATATATTGTTACCCCTTACTGTGTCATCATTTCTAATCCCATTTCTTTTCCAAATCTTGCTTGATTTTTGCAAAGACATAAGACTGTGGGCTCTATCTGTGATTCCCACTGATTTGCTTTGGCCAACCTCCCAAATAACTCATCTTTTTATTCTTTTGTCAAGTTGTAGTTTGTCAATTTTTGATAAGTGAGCCATGTGGACAAACCAAAGTAGTTAGCATAACCCCAGTTGTGAGATAGTTAAACTTGAATAACTAGTAAACTTCATATGTGAATTCTTTTTGTAATGCAGTGTTTTTCATTTTAACTAAATCTTGGTTTTATTTTGTTTATTTTTACCCCAGGGCATTGTTTGATTTGCTGGACCTTCTTAATTAATAAAAGTGAAATGCATGATCTTTTATGTGCTAAATTACCTATTTGTATGGTTTGCTATGTTATTTTTCAATGATAATACCCTTTTTTTACCCCCCCCCCCCAAATTAAATCTAAGATACAAGAAAAATAAATATATATGGTGCTTACAGTTGTGTTATGTCTGAAAAGTTTCTAGCTTTGATCCTCACTTAATTTGTTGCAATATGCTTTGGAGCAGACATATTTAGCTATCATCAAAAGCACTTGGTTGAATGCCACGGAACTTCACAACTTATGCTGTTTTAAGCACTTAGTCCAGCATTTTGATGTAATTCTGTATTAATCTAATAGCTTGGTGACAGAAATGTGTAAAATTACTTAAACCCAAGTTCTAATTTGATAGTTTTCAAGACTTTACCTATTTTTTGTGACAATAACTTTAAAAGCAAAATAGCCATTGTTCTACTTTGAAGTACATAAATAAATATGAAGCTGAAGGTAACTCCTTTCATGTATGAAGAAACACCACTCACTGGCTGCTGTGCTGTGTCAGTTGCATTAGTTGAGAATGGCCCAGGTTCAACCAAGTGTTTTCACATTTTCAAATTGTGATCACAATTGTGATTATTGTAGCTGTGTCAAAGAGGAACGTGAAGTCATGAACAGCGACCGGGAAGATGGGGACAGGTATCATTGACGTTGTGCTAATTATAAAACCAATAAGTTGCTTACTTATTTATAAGGTGTATGCTTGTTTAGGCTGGAACCTTGTATTAAGTGGAATTTAGGTATATGAAGTTTGCTGCTTATTTCTTGTTGTCTTGGCAACCTGCTTATTATTTTATGCAGCTTGATATTTGATACTCACAGTACATGTGCTGTTTCTAACATAAAAATGTCATTTTGTGCATATGTTTTGATTGAAGGACTTCTTGCACTATGCACATTACATGAAATATCTTAAAATCATGTAGGAGTTTTAGAAAGCACCTTAAAAAGCATCTTAAAAAGTCACAATTTATATTATTTGGCTCTAAGGCCCCATTCAGAATAAGGGACTTAATAGTTCGAGGATCAAATATGGCGACCCACTACAAAGCTTGTCGTCTTATCTGCTTATAGACACTGAATAAATATCCCGTGGGGAAGTATTCAGGTGGGTCAGCCATATTTGACCCTTGGACTAGTTAGTCCACTATTCTGAATGGGGCCTGACTATGCTTTTTCCTCTTGAAAATCAGTAGCTCAATGGTCAATATTTTTTATCAGAAAGTAATAACGCTAAGGTTTGGCTAAATTAACTGGATATTTCGTTTTATAAAGATGGTGTTTATTCAGTGGCAAGTAACGAAGAGAAACGTAGGGCTGTTACTAAATTTTCAGCTGAGCAAGGTGCTATCGAACAGTGCATATGGCAATATGTACCTCTATTGTTTTGTAAAGAGAAAAACCTTCATTGTCTCATAATGATATGTTCCTTGTCTTAGTATGATCAGCGCCATTGCATGTGTACAGTCATTTTTACTACAAGACCTACGGGTAGGAATGTATGTATTTCAATTCTGTCAGAATATGATATATTAATTTTAGTAGCCAATTTAGTGATACACCAGGTCATAAACAACGGCAATCATAGCTGTCTCATTGGCAAAATCTCCAGATGTTTAGTACTAGTAATAATTATTCAACACAAGCTGGGCATTTTTCCTCTCGAATGAACAAAAGTTGACAACCAATTTGGTCAAAGCTTTTTGTCAGAGTGATGTGAGAAACGGCACCACTGTCAGATGTTATAAGCTGATAATGTATGGTGTCTCACATATGGACAGTGGTCTACCCCCACCCCCCATCTTTCTATAGGTGTGTGGTGTGTTTCACCATCTTTTAACAGCTGGTTGTGAAATAATTTCTNCCGTTCGAAATTCATGGCACTTTACCGTAGTAATAATTATTCAACACAAGCTGGGCATTTTTCCTCTCGAATGAACAAAAGTTGACAACCAATTTGGTCAAAGCTTTTTGTCAGACTGATATGAGAAACGGTACCACTGTCAGATGTTATAAGCTGATAATGTATGGTGTCTCACATAGGGACAGTGGTCTACCCCCACCCCCACCCCCCATCTTTCTATAGGTGTGTGGTGTGTTTCACCATCTTTTAACAGCTGGCTGTGAAATAATTTCTTTCAATAAAAATAAGACATACAATCCCTAACATTAAAGATTTCTTAATATTGGGTTTCGGTGGGTTTCAGGAGAAACAAATTCTTTGGCATTATGGAATGTTTATGAATTCATCTTTTTTATTTAATGTATTGGCTACTGATTACTGAAGACATTCTCATTGTGAGTAAAGCGATAACAGAATTATGGAAAAAGAAAATCTACGACAAAACCTTTTTGAAATTGATATGTTTAGTGTTTTATGATGTTACATGTTTCATAAATATGTCAAAGGACAAAATTTAATTCCTGTCATAAATTTTATAATAGGAAATGCAGTTATTGTATGGCTTAGGATGGACATGTGTTGCTTAGGCTTACTTAAACATACAGTAAATTTTAACCAGTTTAGAGAATTTTATGCTTGTAGTTTAGCCATAGGAAATTTGACATTTTTGATGGTTTATTTGACAAATTTCTTGTTGATTTTGTTGGAAAATTTCACTATTTTAAAATTATCCTACTGCTTGGCTGAAATATGTTTTATCCTAGACCTCAGGCTTTTTGCTGTGGTATTTGTGCTTATAATTTTAGGTGGCATGTATTTATTTCAGCTTTTTATAGGCAATTGTGTTTTCTTTTTAATTTTATGCAAATTTGAGTTCATAAAATTAAGAAATTTCCCACTTCATGCAACCAGATATTGGTATATAAATAAAAACAAGTCCAAAATGTAGAAACTTCTTACTTCATGCAATAAGATATTGGTACATAAATAAAAAGAAAAAACAAGTCCAAGCCTCTTTTATTCATCATTTAAATATCAATACAAGGGTCACAAAACAGCAGTTACACACCTTTGATGGGTTAAGACACAATAGCTGCAGCCTTGTAGATCACATTCTTTCATCCACAGTTTGTGCCAAAGTTGATCCAGTATTCAGTGTATCAACCAGGACAAGACCTCATTCTGTCATTTCCCTTTACAGGAGTATGTCTGGCACCCATATGACCGCCATGAATGACAGGAGGAGAGCTTCTGTGAAGGATTTCCTGGTTGCCACCCCCGAGGAGTTTGTGAAGAGATTTGGTGGAAATAAAGTTATTAACAAGGTATGAAGTTTAGATGTTTAGTTTATTATAGCTTAAGTTTGATTTTTTTCTAGACAGGAAAGTACTGGATATGTTTGGCATGAAAGCCTTATTGTTTTTTGAGCACCTTCCCAAATGTCAAATATTATTCATATACAGATACTTCCAGCATCTCACAGTAATATGGCAGAAAACTACTATGGCCTTACTAAGAACAATGTTAGTGTATTTTGATAGCAATTTTCTCATTTTGGGTCAACATTGGTATAATATAATGAGGAATGTACCTGTCTATGAAAAGGGTAATTGTTGCATATGAAAGTGAATTGAAATCTCTTTCAAAATCTATTAAATGTGACCTAATTCTCTTTTTCTATTATCACCTGTACATTTTTATTGCCTATAATTTAGGTGCTGATTGCCAATAACGGGATAGCAGCTGTAAAATGTATGAGGTCAGTAAGAAGATGGGCATATGAGATGTTTAAAAATGAAAGAGCCATAAGATTTGTTGTCATGGTAACTCCAGAGGATCTGAAAAACAATGCAGGTAACAGTGACATATTTATATGATTTTCGTTTATAGATTGAATTTTATTTTAATTTTTTCAATTATTTAATTAATTACTTTTGGGAATGGGTGCTTAAGGTGAAGTTTTTTAAATATCTAGCTAGAAGATACGTTGAAAGAGTTTCATTTGGATGTCAGTGTAAGCCACGGTTGAGAAGCATTGTAATATCTTTAGTACAAGATGAATCAGCAAATAAAACTCATTATAATGTCATGTTTTTGTTTGAAGAGTATATCAAGATGGCGGACCACTACGTGCCTGTACCAGGAGGCACCAACAACAACAACTACGCCAATGTGGAGCTAATCCAAGACATCGCTAAAAGAACACAGTCACAGGTCTGTATTGATTGTAGAGAAAGACCCAGAAGACAGCCTCAATCCTTCCTTGAACTGGGTGTCAAAGTGAAAAGAAAGATTATACTCAGTCTGGTAGTACGCAACAAGCAAAACCTGTTCATACTTATAGCAGAGTGTCTCCAGTTGAATTGATATATGAATTGTATGGAACTAAAATGTGAGAGGTTTGTTGTGAAAAAAATGTTAAATATGTAAAATTTTCTAATTGCAGGCTGTGTGGGCTGGCTGGGGCCATGCTTCAGAAAATCCCAAGCTGCCTGAACTCCTCCATAAACATGGCATTACTTTCATTGGTAAGAAATCTATAATACTGGGATTTTATAAAATACTTTATTTCATTTATAACTCTTATTTGAGATGTTGACCAAATAAGTATCAAAATAGCAAATTTTTGATTGAAAATTCTCATTAACTGGATATTAGAATTGTGGATTAGATTATTAAAATACTTTAACAAGATTACTTAAGTCCTGGAATGATATTGTTAAAATACTGGAATGAGAGTATTCACCTGGTCCTACCCTCTCTCACAGGTCCCACAGAGAGTGCCATGTGGGCACTGGGAGACAAGATAGCCTCTAGTATTGTGGCCCAGAGCGCTGGTGTCCCCACCCTCCCATGGAGTGGCTCGGGGCTGACCGTGTCCTGGAGTGATGAAGGTCTGTCCAGTGGGCAGTTAGTGACCGTCCCTGAAGACATCTACAAGAAGGGGTGCGTGTTCACGGAGGAGGAGGCGCTGTTCTCTGCCAAGAAAATCGGGTTCCCGGTGATGATCAAGGCGTCTGAGGGAGGTGGTGGGAAGGGGATCAGGAAAGTGGTCAGTCCAGATAATTTTGCCACATTGTTTAGACAGGTCAGTATTCTGGATTATCAGTAGGTACATTTGTTTAGTGCATAATATTCTCCTTGATAAAGTTTGGGTGGATTGTCTTCACTGCACATACCTACAAAACATTCCTACTATACACTTGATGTCTAATTTCAATGAAAATTGGTTTTCCAAATGCTTTAGTATATTGAATTTGACCTGATTTTTTTTTTTTTTTTTTTTATCTTTCAATATTGGTTCCTCACTGCCATAGCTCGATTTAGCCACCCTGCATTAAGTGCAGTGTGCATTGTTTTTGTACCAAAATGATACCTTACATCTTTTAGCACAAAATCAATGTAAAACCAATTAATTCTCTCTCTGTGTTTCCAGGTTCAGTCAGAGGTCCCAGGCTCCCCGATATTCGTCATGAAACTGGCCACACATGCACGCCATCTGGAGGTACAAATCTTAGCTGACCAGTACGGTAATGCCATCTCCCTGTTTGGCAGAGATTGCTCCATCCAGAGGAGACACCAGAAGATCATTGAGGAGGCTCCAGCCACAATAGCGCCACCTGAAGTCTTTGAGCGCATGGAAAAGGTATGGATAATTGTGCTAGTTGTGACATCTACTTAGTTTTTAATGATGAAAAAACTGAATTAGTCCATTTCAACTCTAAGTTTTCCAAAGACAATACTGCACTTGATAGTATTAGAGTTGGGGATTCTTTCATAAAACCAACAACAGAAGTAAGGAATTTAGGTGTTATTTTTAATAACAAATGTGAAATGACATCACACATTAACAAAGTATGTAAAACAGCATATTTTAGTCTCCAACGGATATCCAAGATCTTTCACCTTATTAATACCAAGCAAACTGAATTACTCATCCATGCATTTGTAACCTCTAGACTGGATTATTGCAATAGCCTATTGTTTGGAATACCTAACTATCAAATGGAAAAGCTACAATCAATTCAGAACTCTGCTGCTCGTCTCCTCTGTAAAGCTCAGAAGTCCGACCACATCACACCAATTCTGCGAAACCTCCACTGGCTACCCATTTTACTTAAACTCTACCATAGAACTTTTAACTCCTATCAGATCACTTCGATCTAGTGGACAACTTCAACTTAAGCGAAAAGACACTAAAAAGACTCTTAAGACATATGGACACAGAAGTTTCGAGATTTGTGCACTGATTTTATGGTCTAATTTTATCACAAGATCTAATGTGTCTCTGGATGACTCATATTACTGTTTTAAGAAGAATTAAAAAACTTTTTTATTTAAAGAATACTTTAATTTATAGCATCTTTTTAGTTTTTAAAATTTTTAAGTATTCTGTTTTTAGTCTATACTGGCTTTAATTTATCTGTGGAGTTATATTTTTTATGTAAACAGCGCTGAGACGCATGTGTAGCGCGGTTTTAAAGAAGTGTTTTATTATTAATATTATATATTCAGCAGGCTTTGTCACCAAGGCTGTCAGATTTTATTTGCTTGCATACATTTGTTTCTCTCTTTGTTGAATGTTTATGTCATTGCCTTCAACATTTAACATTACATTTTTCAACTGAGACTTAAAATTAATGTTGAATTTAAACAAGGTTGACACTCCCATTGCAATAATGGTGAAAAAATATCAAGATGAAAAATTATAATACATTTAATGGCAATTTTTGACTTCATATGTGATACTGTTTTAACTTTAAGTGCAATTTGGTAATTTTCCATGATGAACTGTTTTGTCTTTATCATATTGTTTAATACAGTACTTTTTACATCTATTTATAAGAATATACTTCCTGTATCAATGATAAAGAGTTTCAGCTATATTCCACTCATTTGTTTTCCCAGTGTGCTGTCACCTTAGCCAAGATGGTGGGCTATGTCAGTGCCGGCACTGTGGAATATCTGTACAATGATGAGGACCAGACGTTCAGTTTTCTGGAGTTAAACCCTCGTCTCCAGGTGGAACATCCATGCACAGAAATGGTGGCAGATGTCAACCTTCCTGCTGCACAACTGCAGGTGTGTTTTCTGGTTCAAAAGTCTTTGAAACTGATTTCTTTGTTAATATTAGACATGTACTTAGTTTCATTTATAAAATTTTTCTGAGGTAGCATGAAACTGTCACTTGTTTATATGGATTGAATGATCTCTCTTTTTTGGTTATTTGCTTAGACTCGCCCTTCAAGAAATCGACGCCTTCAAGAAATCGACGAAAACCGGAAGTGCGTGTTTTTGCACTGTTTTTCCTGTCATGCCCATCGTAAACACTGTGTTGTCAAGTAAAACCATAGAAGTAGAGTACTTCTATGGTAAAACGAAGCGTCTGATACAAAGTATCAAACGCGGCATTCACGTGCTTGCTTGCGATGCGTTCAGTACACTTTGTTTACACTGACAAGTCGAGGTCGGGAATGCACAATGTTTTTCTATGTAATTACGCAGTTTTAATTTTGATTAGTGAATTTTCTTTTATCTGCATGGTCATTTTCCGAACATTTGTATGAGCCACGAAATATTTATCATCGGAAAAACACCCACAGCTTTCCAAGTAGAAGCGAGTGACGTCATGACGCACTTCCGGTTTTCATCGAGATCTTGAAGGGATTAGCGTTACGGTTTGCTGCACATATAAAGCGTTCTGTCTCAAAATGTACTTAACTGCTTGGATTGAAATTTACAGAACTTATTCTTCACATGATATCACACATATGTGCTTAATTTGAGAGCTTTAGCTGTTATATGTTTTCTACAGTGCCCATTCAAAATTGAAAAAGAGCTATTTTCCGTCGATTTCTTGAAGGGCAAGTCTATAACATTTGTTGTAAGCTGGAATATTTGTGGTGAAAAAATTGTTTTGAGCACACAAAACATGGCATTTTAGGCTGTATATAATGAAATTTTCAAAAATCTAAAAATCTAATTTTTTAGTTCTGAATGCTGTGCCTTACCTCTAAAAGATGTATAAATTCCAATTCTTCCACCAGGTGGCCATGGGTATCCCCCTGCATGTCATCAAGAACATCCGTCTGCTGTACGGTGAGGATCCTTGGGCCACCACCCCCATAGACTTTGACAACCCCCCTTGCAAGCCTCAGCCCAGAGGTCATGTGATAGCTGCCAGGATCACCAGCGAGAACCCTGATGAAGTGAGAATTGTTTCCTGTTTATAATTATGGGATGGGATGGAATGTGACATGTCAAGACATCATATCATGTATAATTTGGGATAGAATAACTGTAAAACTTTTTTATAATAATATTTTTTAAGCATTAACTGAATTTTGCTATATCCATTCTGCTTGGTGTGGGTTTTGCAAGTTAAAATTTCCCATTAAATTTTGGATAACTTTTATATATCATTGCATCAATATCTGTGGAAATCTGACTGCCAATGTATAATTTTCCTTTCAAAAAGTGAACTTGTTATGATCAGTTTTGGAAACATTATCCTGTATCTGTGATATGTTAGGAATTCAAGCCAAGCTCTGGCACTGTTCAAGAACTGAACTTCCGTAGCAACAAGAATGTGTGGGGTTACTTCAGTGTGGCTGCCTCAGGAGGGCTGCATGAGTACGCAGACTCACAGTTTGGTCACTGTTTCTCTTGGGGAGAGGACAGGGAAGATGCCAGAGAGTAAGTTCAAACACTGTGTGAAAATGATAATTATGTAACTTCAGTTTCCCAGATTTATCTCTAAACCAGTTCTTCAAAGCATATTTCTCTCACAGTCAGATGAATGGACACATTTCCAAACTTGATTTTTCTTCAGCATTTTCTCCAGTGATGGCCCTCATATTTATCTACTGATATGATTTTATTAAGGAACATGGTGGTGGCCCTGAAGGAGCTGTCTATTCGAGGTGACTTCAGGACTACGGTAGAGTACCTGACCAAACTCCTGGAGACGGAGAACTTCCAACAGAACTGTATAGACACAGGGTGGCTGGACAAACTGATTGCTGAGAAGGTGCATGTAAGTATACCTCACTCAGGTTATTGATAGATTTATTTATTTATTTATTTATTTATTTATTTTGATCTATAAGAAATATATTGTCACTAATTCCACCATTTTTCTTCACTAGTAAAAGAAGAATAACTATACTGTCTACCAGTTACAGTGTTGTACTCAATATATTTGGGTTTTTAATGTTTGATGTTTTACCAAGAACTATTTATACAACTACTCCCACTTGAAATTTGCCTTTTATAGAATGTAATATTTATAATAGTTGAAATCTTTGTTAATGTCACTTAAAGGTGTTATGTTTTTAAGTATTTCTTTATTATTCTGATGTATTACTGAGCCTATAAAGTAGATTGTATTACCTCCTGCAGACAGAGACTCCAGACACCATGCTGGCAGTGGTATGTGGCGCCCTCCATGTGGCAGACCACACCATACAGACCAACTTCCAACATTTCCAGAGTGCTTTACAAAGGTAGGAAATTCAAACCAGTGTAAAGTACTGTGAAGTACTCAGAGAAACAGTGCAAGTATTTTTCTCTAGATTATTTCTTATTACTTGTCTATTTAGATCAATGTCATTGAAATTAAGAGACATTTGTAATTGATATTTTGAATGTGCTGTACTGTTTATGTTGTATGTGTAAACAATTTTCTAAGTATTTGTTTATCCTTCAGAGGTCAGATACAGGCCTCCTGCAGCTTGACCAGTTCAGTGGATGTAGAGCTGATACATGGAGGGATCAAATATGTTCTGCAGGTAAACTGACCAAACTGAGGGACATGGGGATATTGACAAGAATTACTCCATGAACAAACCTTGAGTGCATTTTTCCTCTTTTTTCTTTCGGATTACTTCATTTAATCATTAACACTTCATGGACATTACTCTTTACGTGTTAATTATCATTCAGATAAATCATGTTTAACTGCCATATTTTCCAGGTAACCAAGACAGGACCAAGTAGCTACTTTGTAGCAATGAATGATTCTTATGTTGATGTTGAGTCACACAGGTAATGAATCCATTATAACATGGCTAAAACTCTTTAAAGTTGATACTCTTTTTGGAATGTATTAAAATCTTGTTGGTGCATAATTATTAATCCAGCATTATATGTTCATATTCTCCACATATTTTCCATTGCTTAATCTTACTACAAACAAGTTTACTTCTACCCATATCAAATCATAGATTATTTAGTAAACTTGTTGCCATCTTCGTCAGTGCTGGGCCACTGATGATTGTGAGGCAAGGACATGTTGTGACTGGGGTGAAAGAAGTCTGTCACATTCATATGTAAAAAATACTGCCAAACCAATGGAATTTATAAATTGTTTTATATTGGCGTCCTGTTGAGTAATTTTTCTCAGTTGTATAATATTATAACATTTCTGTGTTGTAATTAATTGTAACAGCCAGCTAGAGATATAATAAGAACCTGTAAATGTTCTCCCATATTTAGGTTGAGTGATGGAGGCCTGTTACTGTCAATAGATGGCGCCAGTCACACAACATACATGAGGGAAGAGGTCGGCAGCTACAGGATCATTATTGGCAACAGAACCTGCGTCTTTGAAAAGGAAAATGATCCTTCTGTACTCAGGTAGGCAGGACTTATGTTGTCCTTTTTGGCTCTAAAACAAAATATGTTTTAAAACATTACATTTCTTGTTTTACAAAGGGCAGGAAGCTTTGAAGTGTTATGATACTGTTTAAAATTGTCAAAAATAATGATAATTATTTTACTCTTATACGTATTAAGATCAAATCATTTAAAGCCTTATTCTGAAATATTCCTTTTTGCATTGTGTTCTGTCAAAAGCCGTCTTTTGACAAGTTTCTAGTTAGCTTTAACTATGGTATCCATGTTTGATATATTGTACACTACATAATATTCTGTCTTCCACAGGTCTCCGTCTGCAGGCAAACTGGTCGCATACTTGGTGGAGGACGGCGGCCATACTTTTGCTGGCGATGTTTACGCTGAGATTGAGGTGATGAAGATGGTGATGGAGCTAAGGGTGACGGAGAGTGGATGGTAGGATAGCATTGGCTTTTTTAACATTTCTGTAGAATAAGACATGATCTTTTGAAGGGTAATGCTTTTTGAAAAAGTTAGGATTAAGTTAGCAGAATTTGATTTATTCAAATCATGCTATTATTATAAATATGACCTTTTTGAAGATTGTTAACCATTTCAAATCAAAGATTTAAAATTTATTATGTTGCATACAACAAAGTTTCATTGCCAAAGATCACATAATTAAATGCACAAGTGATGACAATAAAACATTTTATTGTGACTGACCTTGTAGTGACTGTTCATTCCAGTGTTCACTATGTAAAGAGACCAGGAGCTGTACTTGATGCTGGAAGTATAGTGTGTAAACTACAGCTAGATGATCCCAGCAGGGTACAACAGGTGGGTGGAGGGGGTGGGGGTAATGTGAGCTGTACTTGATGCTNAACAGGTGGGTGGAGGGGGTGGGGGTAATGTGAGGTGTACTTGATGCTGGAAGTATAGTGTGTAAACTACAGTTAGATGATCCCAGCAGAGTACAACAGGTGGGTGGAGGGGGTGGGGGTAATGTGAGGTGTACTTGATGCTGGAAGTATAGTGTGTAAACTACAGTTAGATGATCCCAGCAGAGTACAACAGGTGGGTGGAGGGGGTGGGGGTAATGTGAGGTGTACTTGATGCTGGAAGTATAGTGTGTAAACTACAGTTAGATGATCCCAGCAGAGTACAACAGGTGGGTGGAGGGGGTGGGGGTAATGTGAGGTGTACTTGATGCTGGAAGTATAGTGTGTAAACTACAGTTAGATGATCCCAGCAGAGTACAACAGGTGGGTGGAGGGGGTGGGGGTAATGTGAGGTGTACTTGATGCTGGAAGTATAGTGTGTAAACTACAGTTAGATGATCCCAGCAGAGTACAACAGGTGGGTGGAGGGGGTGGGGGTAATGTGAGGTGTACTTGATGCTGGAAGTATAGTGTGTAAACTACAGTTAGATGATCCCAGCAGGGTACAACAGGTGGGTGGAGGGGGTGGGGGCAATTTTTCATTGTAAAATCCATGCATTGCTCAAGTTTGTTTTTAAATTAGTTGTTATGAAATTAAACTCTGCTGTGTTTGTGACCTAAAAATTTTCAGCCAAATGACCTCACAGTAAGCTAAAATTAATTGAAATCTGAAATTTCTAATTAACTTCAATAATTCATAATTTTATACAGTATATTATTATTCTCATTTTACAATCTATGTACTGTACAACAGATGTGCAGTTAGGTAAAGTCAGCTTACTACTCTCAATCTCTCTAGTGCCATAGTTGATATGACCCTTGGTGACTTATGATGCTAGTTTCAGCATCCAATTAATTGCTGAGTCCCATATTATTATTTCACTGAATAATAACAGTGGACTAAAAAAGAAATTTGGAGATGAATAATCCTTCAGTAAGTACCAGGATATCACACAACCTGTTTATGTGCTCTCCAGGCTCAGTTATTCCACGGCAAGCTGCCAGCTGTCACACACAACACTGTGACATCCATGCATGGTGACAAACTCCACCAAGTGTTCCAGAGTGCCAGAGCCTCGCTGGAGAATATCCTGGCAGGATACGCCATACCTGATGACAAGGTGTTCAAGAAACGACTGGGAGATGTGCTTAATACTCTACTTACCTGTATCAGGGATCCCAGTATGCCACTGTTAGAACTACAGGTAAGAGTTATTACTTACCTGTATCAGGGATCCCAGTATGCCACTGTTAGAACTACAGGTAAGAGTTATTACTTACCTGTATCAGGGATCCCAGTATGCCACTGTTAGAACTACAGGTAAGAGTTATTACTTACCTTATTATTTAAAGAAGTGCAATATGGGCTAAGCTCAGTGTATGAGTATAAACTTGGACTACCTTGCCTCCAAGTTTATAATATCTATCAGAATGGTTTCAAGTTAATACCATTGTTTTATATGTAATTTGAGTTTATAAAAGGCATCTCTTTTTTACTATCACCAGGTCTGTCAAAACTAACTCCCAAGAATTATAGAAGTGTGTTTGTATCTTTTCTGAAAATACTATTAGCATCATAATCACCTGTAAGTTTTACATTTCCTTCATGTTCTCTCCCCCAGGAGTTGATCTCCATGATATCTGGGCGACTGCCGCCACAGGTAGAGAGGACCATTCGTAAACACATGCAAGTCTACGCCAGCAACATCACCTCTATTCTCTGCCAGTTTCCAAGTCAACAAGTGAGCTCTTTTATTAAGCTTTTTTTCACTTTTTTTGGTAAATAAGGATATTCAGTCTCTGATTGTATATGAGCATATTGTATTTTTCACTTGTGGGCAATTTTTCATGAACAGTAACTGTTTGAAGCAGTTACAAATGCTCCAACTTTGTGTTTAAGCTGAAATATTAACAAGTACTTTTATTATTTCATCCAGATGGCATCTTGATGGTTTAATCCATGCATTTTCAAGCAGTTGATGAATTATCTTTATTATTATAGAGCAAATTTGTTACAGTCCCCCTTTTAATTTATAAATTGACAATGCAATTAAATCTGGAAGTTAAAAAATATCATGTTTTTCACTTAAGATAACCACTATCATGCATAAGCAATGTTTCATTTTTATGTGAATCCAAAATTTTGGTATTTAATCTTGGTATTTATGTGCTCCAGATCGCCACTGTGATAGACAGTTATGCTGCCACATTAACCAAGAGATCAGACAGAGACGTCTTCTTTATGACCACTCAGGGCATAGTACAACTAGTTCAGAGGTAAACAGTCACATTTATTATACTGATTCTACCTTTTTATGAATAAAAGTCGAATTGAATGACACAAATCTCTTTCAGAATTTAAGTGAAACAGACTTCAGGAAATATTATAGACTTCATATTTTCATTAAAGTTAGTGTCCTGCTTGGATTATAATATTGTTGAAAGCTTGTGTGTATATGTGGTTTAAACACTAGATAATCTTCTCTGTTGTGTTGAGGGAGATACTTTCATTGTCTATCTTTTACATTTTTTTCATTAAGAAACATTTTCAAATTCAAAATTATGAAATGTTGCTTTATAGGCACACTTATCTTTAAGATCAGGACAGACTTAATTTACAAGCCGTTTGGTATTTTAGGTACCGCAGCGGGGTGAGAGGTCACATGAGAATGGTGGTGCAGGACTTATTAAAACAGTACCTGAAGGTGGAGTCACAGTTTCAACATGGTGAGGATTGCTGTCACTGTCTCTGTACAGTAGTCCACCTTTCTTTAAATATCATACTTCTGTATTAGTGGAAGTCTTTTATTTCCACTTAGTAGATTATTATAGCTCATGAAAAAATTGATAATTACTTTACTGTGTTTGCCAGCAAAGATACTTCAGGTATAAAGACAAACAGTTTGTCATTGTGGAATATCGAAAATCAATCAGCACAGCTAAAAGATGGAATAAGAACTATAATAATTGTGTTTCTAGAAATCTTGGTTTTATTATATACAGAAAACATTTTTGAAGATTTTTTAATAGATTGAGAATTATGTTTGCCTCCAAGATTTTTTTTTTATTTTGTTGTTTTTAAACATATTTTAGTTTATTTATAATTATTATTTTTCTCTGAGAAAAGAAAATTTTTCCCGATGTTCCAGGTCACTATGACAAGTGTGTGGCTCAGCTGAGGGAGAAACACAAAGATGACATGGCAACTGTCATGGCCACTATTTTTTCACATTCCCAAGTACAGAAGAAGAACCTTCTAGTCATCATGCTCATTGTGAGTTCATCGCAGTGTGTGTGTGTGTGTGTGTGTGTGTGTGTGTGTGTGTGTGTGTGTGTGTGTGTGTGTGTGTGTGTGTGTGTGTGTGTGTGTGTGTGTGTGTGTGTGTGTGTGTGTGTGTG